GTTGGTTACGATGATGATGGAAATAGCCAAATATGCCGAAGTAATCATACTTGGTCATGATTCACATTCAGTTAGAATGTGCAGCTGTAGTAATAGGTGGATTGTCTTGGTGATTATGATGTTTTTTTTCAGCTTATTTTGTTTCGAGTTCAAATCTACTCCCTCCTTTTAGTGTAAATTAGTGTAGTTTATCGCTTAAACTAAAAAAAAAAAATGCAATCGTAGAAGTTAGATCCACATTATAACTTATTATGGTTAATTTTGACAGTGATCCTTACACTCATACTCATGTTTCACTTTGGTGCTTTAGTTAAGGTGTTAAATATTAGAATCCTTTAATTGTATTGCATGTCCTATTCCTTCCGTCTATTAAAGGGTAAAATTGTCAATTCAAGTGCGACACGTGAGGCAATTGATATAATAAAATTGAAGGTTAAAGTGAAACATGAATACAAGTTCTTGAGAACATTAGACTAACCCAAACTAACCTAAATTTCAAGAAGAGGAATTCAAACTCAGGTACATATGAAAAACACATCGCTTTAACAATGTAGCTATGTTCATATTCACATATTTTTACTGATTAATTAATTGAGTAGCACATCACATTTTGTACAAAAAATGGATCATTGACATCATAGCCTTTAGTAGTTGAGCATGTCTACAAAAAAGATATGGTCTAATCAATATAAACGGTGAGTAAACGATATGGTCTCATCAATCTAGACAATGTGATGATGATGATGGAGTGAGTTGCGTGAGCGAGTGCTACCTCAACTGTTATGTTTGCCGGCTTTTTATTCTTTCGCTTTTTCAACGGTCCGGGTTTCAGGGTTTCACTTTTTGAGGTTGGTTCTCTCTGGTTTTCCCACCGCTCACCCACTCACTCACACTCTCACCCCTGCCACTAATCTTGCCTTCAAGTTTTATCATCATCGGCGGTTGCTTTGTAACTGGGTAATTTTATGCAAAAGCAATCATTCCCTCTGTAAATAAAAAGAGCACACTAGTCCCTCCTTATAAAAAGCCATCTTCATCTTCTTCTTCCTCCCTCTCTTATCCAACTGTTTGGCTCCCTCTTCATATTTTCCTCTCTTTCGGGAAAGGAAATAAAAAAAGTGGGGCACTTGAGAAAATGGGGTCTTTTTGTTGTAGTGGGAGAATCAGCAGCATTCTTCTTCTGTTCTTATGTGTTCTTGCTGCTGAAATTAGCATTTGCCTTTCATCCAAGGTAAATTAAATTCTGGGATTCTTTAATTCTATGTTTTTCTGGTAGTTTTCAGTGATTTATTTTTCCTGGGTTTTTAGGTGTATGTTGTTTATATGGGAAGCAAAAATGGTGAGGATCCAGATGAGATTTTGACACAAAACCATGAAATGCTTGCTTCTGTGCACACTGGAAGGTCAGTTTTTTCAGAAAGTCCTTTCCATTTTTATTTCATTTAAATAAAAATCATGTGTGTGTGTCTATATATGTATGTGTATTTTACTGATTTGGGTTTGCTTGTTCATCTCTGATTGTGTTGGTGAATTGCATCCATGGTGTTTGAACAGTATGGAGGAAGCTCAGGCATCGCACATTTACAGTTACAGACATGGCTTCAGAGGCTTTGCTGCCAAGTTAACCGACCTCCAAGCTTTCCAAATTTCCAGTAAGTTCCCCAATCCACCTCTACGAATTACAATGTGAATAGAAATCCTTGACTTTGTGATTAAAACCATGGTAAATTGAATTCACAGAGATGCCGGGAGTTGTTTCGGTTTTCCCCAATTCGAAAAGAAGCTTGCACACCACTCATTCCTGGGATTTCATGGGCCTTTTGGGTGAAGAAACTATGGAGATTTCTGGGTATTCCACCAAGAACCAAGTTAATGTCATTGTTGGTTTCATTGATACTGGTAAGCACTGAGCTCCGAGCACTTTTTTTTTTTTTTTTACGATTATATTTACCAATTTACTCTTTCTTTTGTGCATCTAGATCTATAACACAATCTCTATTCAGTAAAATATGGTTGTTCAGTCAACTATCATTGATTCATGGCCCATTTGTTGACTTAAGTCCCTGTTTTGTTTATATTATAAGGCGTCTTATCTCCTCTCACATGACTCATGTGGCATGAACATGCCCCATCATTTTTGCTTTCTGTACACATGAATGCTTTTGGCCTGATTGAAGCTATTTATGACACTAATTGTTTAAAGGGAAATAAATATTTCTGTTAATAATATTATTATTCACTGTCACGAGCAGGAATTTGGCCTGAATCTCCAAGTTTTGATGACGCCAACATGCCTCCGGTGCCAGCCAGATGGAAGGGGCTTTGTCAATCAGGAGAAAAATTCACTGCTTCAACTTGCAACAGGTTGTTTCGTGGTTTGAATGGATTGTTTAGTTTGTTTCATGGACGTTTACAATTGGAAATCTCAAATGGTTAAAAACTTTTTTCCATAGGAAGGTGATTGGCGCTCGATACTATAAATCTGGTTATGAAGCTGAGGAAGAGTCAACAACCAGAGTGTCATTCAGATCACCAAGGGACAGCTCCGGTCATGGCAGTCACACAGCCTCTATAGCTGCTGGTCGGTATGTGTCAAACATGACTTATAAGGGATTGGCAGCTGGAGGGGCAAGAGGAGGTGCACCGATGGCTAGGATTGCAGTGTACAAGACATGCTGGAACTCTGGTTGTTATGACGTTGACCTACTAGCGGCCTTTGATGATGCAATCAGAGACGGGGTTGATATCATGTCTCTGTCTCTAGGTCCTGATGCTCCTCAGGGAGACTATTTCAGTGATGCCATTTCTGTCGGATCATTTCATGCTGCTAGGCATGGAATTTTAGTGGTTGCTTCTTCTGGAAATGAAGGAAACCCGGGTTCTGCAACAAATTTAGCCCCGTGGATGCTCACTGTTGCAGCAAGTTCAACAGATAGGGATTTCACTTCTGATATCATACTAGAAAATGGTGCTAATTTCACGGTAATTCTATCTACTTTATGTTTGAGAGATTTGTGCGTTATTTTCGCAAGCCTTATAAGTTCTGAATGCTTGATTAGGGTGAAAGTCTCAGTCTCTTCGAAATGAAAGCCTCAGCAAGAATTATTTCCGCCTCTGAAGCCAATGCAGGGTATTTTACTCCGTATCAATCCAGGTGAATCAAAAGGTACTTGGAAGTGAGTTCTGTTTAGATGTCGATGCATAGTGTGCTTAAGTCACACTTTCTCTACTACAATTTGTGTTGCAGTTACTGTTTAGAAAGTTCCTTGAATAGAACCAAGGCCAGAGGGAAGGTTCTGGTCTGTCGACATGCTGAGAGTTCAACGGAGTCAAAGCTCACTAAAAGTATGCTAGTGAAAAAAGCTGGTGGTGTCGGGATGGTTCTCATTGATGACGCAGATAAGGATATTGCTGTCCCATTTGTCATCCCTTCAGCTATTGTTGAACAGAGGATAGGGCATCATATTTTATCTTATATTAAACGCACACGGTTGGTCTTATAAACTAAAACATGAAGGTTCAAATTTTCTGTATTTGAGTTTTATGTTTAACTGATTCGACCATTGTGAACAGGAAACCCATGTCTCGAATTTTGCCCGCAAAGACTATACTGGGACTGAAACCTGCACCTCGTGTTACTGCGTTTTCTTCAAAAGGCCCCAATTCTTTGACACCGGAGATTTTGAAGGTAAATTATAACTGATGATCAGAAATCACAATGTACTGGCCTTGTAATCCATTATGTTATAGAAAACCTTATAACTATTTTGCTTTGTAGCCTGATGTCACAGCTCCTGGACTGAATATACTAGCATCTTGGTCCCCAGCAGCAGGGAATAAGCAGTTCAACATTCTTTCTGGTACTTCCATGGCTTGCCCACATGTAACAGGAATCGCTGCCTTGATCAAAGCTGTTTATCCATCATGGTCCCCAGCAGCTATTAGATCTGCAATCATGACTACAGGTATGATTTCATTAGCTGAAACTACACTAAACTTGCAGTCAGTTTAATTCTCAAACATAAAGTTTTCAAGTTATCCCACTTTGTGCCTAAGATTGTACCAAGGAATCTGACAACAAATGAAATTCCAGCTACTCTTCTGGATAAGAACCACAAACCCATCCTAGTGGACCCTGAAGGAAGAAGGGCTAACGCATTCGATTATGGCTCAGGCTTTGTGAACCCGAAAAGAGTCCTTGACCCCGGTCTTGTCTATGACGTGCATTCAGCAGACTACGTAGAATTCCTTTGTTCAGTTGGTTATGACGAGAAAGCAGTCCATCAAATCACGCAAGACAACAGTACATGTAAGCAGGCATTTCGAACAGCATCTGACCTGAATTATCCATCTATCACAGTGCCGTATCTTGTAGGTAACTTCTCGGTAACTAGAACAGTGACCAATGTTGGTAAGCCAAAGAGTATATATAAAGCTGTGGTGTCCTCACCCGTTGGAATCAATGTTACTATTGTCCCAAATCGATTAATCTTCAATAGGTTTGGCCAGAAGATACAGTTCACTGTAAACTTCAAGGTGGCTGCTCCACCATCGAAGGGATATGCATTCGGGTTCTTTTCATGGGTAAGTGGACGATCAAGAGTTACCAGCCCCCTGGTTGTCCGAGTTGCATATTCGAACTCAGGGCTGCTGAGATAACAACCCACAACCCGCCCCGAAAATTAGATTAGGACCTTTGTTATCCTTGCAGATAATAGAAACCGTACACAGTAAGAAAACAATGCAGAATTATTATCAGATTATCTGTAATTTTTGTGGGTGATATGAGATTATTTGTTAAACCAAGTATATCAAGGAAATATTTATTTGTTATTTTCTCCCTTCACTCTGGATTATAGCACAATTTCTTTGTTTTCGCTTCCTCCGGCATTTTCTGTATCCAACGGAGAGTCTGCTTTCGGTTCTGTGAATTGTAGAACGTAAATTTTTGCATTTGACGAATGAAATTTCTCTGACTAACAACATTAACACCAAACAAATACCGGCAGACAGTTGTAAACATATATCATTCATCTTTTCGAACATCGAAGTATGCCAAAGAAGTTTAACATTTAACACCACTCTTTAATCTTTGAGATCATACAGCATTACAATTTACAAGTGTGCAAATCAACCACAAAAACCGGTTATGATATCGAGAGATAAACTACGATAAATGCAATTCCGAAGGATCAACGAGGCCTTCTAACACAACAAGCTTGTCCAAAAGTGCATTCTTCTCGTCCTCAAGGGTCTTGACCTCATCTTCAACCGCTCTTAGATCGCTCCCCAAAGCAAAGCTCTCTTCCTCCAGCAGCAAATACTTGAGCCTCAGTGCACGGTACCCGCTTCCAGATGGGGAGGAGTCAGGCAACGAATCTGAGCTCAACCTCTCGGGCTGCTGCTGGAAGGATGGAGAAACTTCGTTCTTCATGTTTCTTTTGGTTCCTTTCTGCCCTGCTTTTACCGGAGGTGGAGAAGCCCCGTTCGCATCATTCCCTTGTTGCAAAAACAAGGGGCGCTTCTTGGTTGAGGGTTTCTTTTTCTTCAGCTTAGGAGTCGAAAACTCATCGGCCAGCGACATCTTCGGATCCTGCATTTATCACTAGATGCTGCAATAGTTGAATATCAGATTACCCGATGAACAAGACTACAAAATAATAAGAATATTATTAAACAAATTAGAATGTCAAAATGGCTATAAAACCTCAAGATGCTACATTGTGACGAACTTAGTCTACATAGCTACGAAGCATTATATTTATAGAGAACAAACTTAACCCTAATAATACCAGGCTAGGCCCAAACTAAACTTATAAGAAAACCCAAATAATATAATACCTAAAATACTAATATTTTTCAACAAGCCCCATCAAACTCATGACGGAATACGACATGCGTTTGCAAACAAGCAGATGCGGACTAGCTCCGTTAGGCAGACAAGCAAACTGAACTTGACTTGACCTGATTGGACTCGACTAGCGAACTAGCAAACTTGACTTGACTTGCAAAGTGATTCCGATTCTTACATGTTAATGTTGACAGTATGGAAAGAAATCACATGAGTGCTCCTCGTCACCAAACGGATGAGATTTTCATATCTCCGATGTACCAACAAACGAACGTCAACAAATTCTGGCAACTATCACTCGAGTGGTCAACACTCCAAGCACTCAAATAACAGTCACAAAACAATTCCAAACAGGCCAACAACTCATATGGACCTAAAAACAAACTTAACCATTTTTTCCCTTTGACCGTGTGGGCCTAAAGCAACATCACACAAATTTTTTTATTTCCTTTCTCTTTTTGCCTTTTTTTTCCCTTTCGTTGCTCCTTATTTTCTCTTTGTTTACTTCATGGTCCCAAACTAATCAAACAAGAAACACCATACCAATAGTCAGATCAACAAGGCACAGCAGATGCAACTTGGCAGCAAGAAAAATCAACAGAAGAAACAGGCAGCAGCGGTGGTGGTTTGGTTGCAGCAGCAAGAGACGCAGATCGTGAGGATGGTGGTGGTGCGTAGCAGGTCTGATGTGGGCGAGAGCAGCTGGCAGACAGGTGTGCGGTGGTGGTATGGATCTGGGTTGCAGTTTGCATCGGTACAGGCTTCAAGACGGTGTGATGCGAGTCCAGTATAACTGAACAAGTGTGGCAGATCTGATGCGGGTCACGATTCGAGTGGTGCAAGCATGGCAGGTTCGTGCAGGCGTGACCGGTCTACAAGGGACAGGAGTCACATAACATTATTTGTCAACAGAAATGCTGACAAACCGGCAATATGCGAATTGCAGCAGTGGGGTTCTAGTCTTCAGAGTGACGCGGTACCCGTGGCTTGGTGACTCAACTTCAGAGTTCTAGCAATTTCAATCTTTTTTTATTTTTTTTATTTTTTATTTTTACATATAACAAAACCCTAACTACTACAAGACTGACAAACCAACAAACATACATGACGAACTGATATGCAGCGGACAAACGGATGAACAAATTGATACCTACCCAGAACAGATTAAATTCCGAAGAATCGAATTTGCTCTGATACCAAGTTGAATATCAAATTACCCGATGAACAAGACTACAAAATAATAAGAATATAATTAAACAAATTAGAATGCCGAAACGGCTATAAAACCTCAAGAGGCTACATTGTGACAAACTTATTCTACATAGCTACGAAGCATTATATTTATAGAGAACAAACCTAACCCTAATACTACCAGGCTAGGCCCAAACTAAACTTACAAGAAAACCCAAATAATATAATACCTAAAATACTAATATTTTTTAACAGCAATCACCAGTACACAAAGGATGAATGCATTAGAACCCCTAGCAAATCCTCATTGGTCCCCAAAATCCTTCACAATTGAAAATTCAAATGCCAAAGGTTTCAACTTCAAATCACACCCTCAAAGCCTATAGTTTAACTCTGAGGAATTCCCAAATTTAACTAACTCCATGCAATTATACGAAAAACCCTAACCCTAAAAACCCAATTCAAGACATTAATCTTCATGCATATCTACAATAAAGCTACAATCTTTCTTCCCAGAAAAAGTAAAATCAACAAAAAACTGAATGAACCCTAAAATTCGAATTCCATCGACTTAATACATCAAATTTGGGAATTCAAATTCGAATTCGTTTCCAGCTGCGAAAAGTAACTGATTGAAGAATTGCAATCAACGGAAAGAGAAATAAGATTCCAACTAGGGGGTGGAGGAGGAAGTACCTGAAGACGAAGCTGTGAACTTGGGGGGTTTTCGGCACCGTTTTGCGTTTGGAGCGATTGCGTTTTGGGGCTTTGTTGTTTTTGCTATATAATGCTATCTGTGATCTGTGGGCGACTGTTTGACTCCACTATTGGGGTCGCCATGATTAAAGAAAGTCATGGTTTCTCTGGCTGGGAAGTCCTTTTCTTACTTGGATTGGATTTCTCTCGTTATTTTTTCGTTTTTCTTTTTATTTTCCAAAACCTCGTTTAATCCAATTATTTAGAAAAATTGGTTGTCCATGTATTTAACTAGTAAATGTACTATTTAGTACTATAGTTTAGTAATTTTAAGTTCGATTCTCGTAAAAAATGAATTTAAATCATATTATTACTAGTCTATCGTGCAATTAAGCTTACTTCTCTAAATAATATCAATTGTTAAAAAAATATATATGGTAAATGTCGGGATATTGGTCAGCAAAGTCATTATCAACAACTGTTTAAATGAAAACTCTAGGATGCTCTATGATGCTCCAAAATATTATCACCACGTAGAGTTAGATTTGTTAATGTTGTACAAACAAAAACTCATTAACTATTTCAAGCTTTTCTAAAAAAAAATTATTTATGGATTAGATCTTGATACAAGTTATCGGCACTTTGAAAACACGTATCATTTATTATTTTCTTAAAATTGAAAAAATAATACTTTTAAAATAAAGTCAAACGTCTTTTCATTTAGTCAAAGGCCAATATAAATTGGACTGGCTTCTCTGCGCTCCTAGTTCCTATACACTTTCATCCCTTCCTATTTAAGTCATGTCAACATTTTATATCACTATTGTTTTTTGTCTTATTATCTCTATAAAAAAATCAATATAAAATGTTGACGTGGCTTAATCGTAACCGCACAAAATATGAAGGATGGGAGTATATGGGAACTAGGAAGGTAGAGAAGCTGGGTCCATATACATTTTAAAAGGGTCATGAGTTACACGTGCAAATTCTTAAATAAGATTAATTACCTTAATCGGCTAAAAATTTGTTTGCATTAAGACCCCATTTGGTATTGTTTTTTTCATTAAAAATTGCTTAATTTTAAAGTTAAGCAGTAAAAAAATATTTGGTAATAATAAAATATCCTGCTTATTTTAAAAGCAATGGGTTCTAGATAGCAGCTTTTAAAAGCAGTCTGTAGGTTGCTTTTAAAAACTGCTTTAATAAAAAACAGAGTTGGGTCTTTAATAATTATTTTCAATTGTTGTAATACCTTCATTAATTTTTTTTAAAGGACATTGTTTAGCCTTCCACACACATTTTATCCCTTAGAGAATAAGGTAAACATTACCACCTACCACTGCAAATACTAACTTTACACTATCACCGCCATTACAACCACTATTTTTTTCACCACCATTGCCATAACCACAACCTCCACCACTGTCATCACTACCCTCATTGGCCATAACCACAACCTCCACCACTATCATCACTACCATCATGTCACCACCATCACTATCGCTGTCGCCACTACTACCATTGCCACCACCACTACTACCACCATAGATGCCGTCATCGCCACCACCACCACCATTACCACAACCGCCACCATTACTACCACAATTGTCATTACCACCATCATTGCAGCCATCGCCGACACCACCATACCGCAACCACCACCACTGCCACCGCCCTACCACCATTGTTACCTTTCCAACCCAACCAACACTTCCCACTATTAGCACCACCATCATTACCACCCCTGATGTTGTCACCCCCACTCCTATTACTATGCTCATTTGTCATTGTATACAATTATATCACTTTTATATTAAATTATACCAAATGCTTTTGCACTGCTTTTCATACTCACAACACTTTTAAAATTCAGTTAACCAAACGCTTATCAGCTTTATTTTATATCTGATTATTCTTAACGCACAACAGAAGTAAATTTTTTTTAAAAGCACAAGAATCTCAAACTGATCCTAAATCACAATAAAAGTAATAATTCAAATTAATCTAGATCATCTAATGATCGCAGCATGGAATAAATTTTTCACATGATCATGTGTTATTACTAATTAATCAACTTGAAAAAATTATTAATAAACGACAAAGTCAACATTTGATAAACCCAGAATAAAAGCAAATTAATATAACATTACTCAACAATATGACTGTCTTGTCGAAAAATTGAATGAAAATTGCATGAGATGAAGTTGGAAAGAATTTAACCATAACAATACAAAAGAGAAAACAAAAAGACAAACCTGTCCATGTTACATGTACATCAAAGTTAAAAAATTAGGTGGCTAGATAAGGAAGAGCGCCTCACGCTGCGGCTGACCCATTGCTAGATAAAGCTAAAAAATGGTTCAAAGAATCTAATCCTCACTTTCTAAAAAACATATAAAAATATGACCTATTTGTCGATTTGTTTTAGAATTTGTATGTAACTGTCAATTTTCTTTTCAAACTTTAAATTTAGTCAATTACAACTCTGAATTTTTATAAAAAATCAATTTCTCCATGGTGTTAGATTTTGAAATTTTAAAATTTTAATCTAATTTTTCATCCATTTTGATCAGCGGACAACACATGCAACTAGATGAAAGCGAAAAGGTAATTTTGTTTAGGTAAATTGGATGCAAAGCCAATGCTTTGAAACACTGATTGGACTCCCATAGCTAATTCAAATAGAAAGTGTACAAAATCAACTAGTGGAAGAGAAAGAGAAGGAGAAGAAGAAAAAAGTAATATGTTGTCCACGTTTGAGATAAAATTACTTTATTGTCTTCAAACGTTTGTCATGTGATCAAAATGCATAGAAAATTAGATGAAAATTCCAAATTTTAACGATAAGGGAGAAATAAAAGTTTGGAGAAGTAATTGGTTAAAATAAAAATTAGGAGAAAATTAGCAACTCTTCATAAACTCTGGATGAAATCGATAAATAACTTAAAAAATATTGACTCTTGATTAATTGATTAAAATTTTAATTAAAAGGGTCAATTAATTCTTTCTCAAAAAAAAAAAAAAAAAGAAAAAAAGTCAATTAATTGACTGGAAATTTCAAATTTATAACACGGAATCGGCAACCGAAGGTTCAAAAAACTCATCGAATTCGCAGGAACAAAAAAAACCAATAAAAAATTGAAAATTGTAAACAAATAAAGAGATGTGCATTTGCTGAAGAACTATAGTCAGTTAATTACAGCTGTATACGATCTCTCTCCCTTTGCAATCGTCTCATACAATTTCACATGAGCGAGCGTGCAACGACGTCGTCGTCTTCTTCTTCCAGCTGCCACATGAAGCTGAAGCAGCTGACAGCCGGTGCGACGGCTCTCCTGCTGCTTCTGCTGCTGCCGGCAGCTTTCTCCGATACTGACACCCTCAGTACGTCTCAAAACGAGTTCGGCCCCTTCGACCAATCGTATTACAACAAGTTCGCGGTGCTCCTGCCGGCGACGATCAGCAACCAGGCGCTCCAGATCACGCCGGACTCCGCCGGAAACTTCACCCTCTACAACCGCTCAGGTAGAGTCTTCTACAACCAATCTTTCACGCTCTGGAAAGATTTGGATTCAGATTCTCCCGATTCCGCAGCAAACGAAAGCCACGTGGCGTCTTTCAATTCGTCGTTCCTGATTAACGTCTTTCGTCTCAACGGCTCCGCCGTCCCAGGCGAGGGCCTGGCGTTCCTCATCGCGCCGGATATGACCCTCCCGGAGGCCAGCGACGGTCAGTACCTCGGTTTGACCAACGCCACCACCGACGGAGACCCCAACAACCACTTCCTCGCCGTCGAGCTCGACACATTTAAACAAGATTTCGACCCGGACGACAACCACATGGGCATCAACATCAATTCAATCCGGTCCAACAAGACCGTTTCGCTCTCGGATGTGGATATCCAAATCGCGCCTCCCGGTACCCGATTTTACATGGTCTGGATCGAATACGGCGGCGAGTCGCACCAGTTAGACGTTTATATGGCCGGGCAAGACGGGGACCCGCAGACCGGGTTCGTTATCCGGCCCAGGCCCACAAGCCCAGTCCTAACCGCCAATCTCAACCTCAAGGACATAGTGAAACAGAAATCCTATTTCGGTTTCGCCGCGTCGACCGGGAGCGCGATCGAGCTCAATTGTGTGTTGAGATGGAATCTGACGGTGGAGCTTCTGCCAGGTGGCAATGGTGGGAATACTAATAAGGGGTTGAAGATTGGGCTGGCGGTGGGTGTGCCCGCTGTGGCGCTGTTGCTGTTGGCCCTGGGCGGGTTGGGGTATTATTTGTACAAGCGGCGGAAGGCGGCGGCGTCGGACGAGAATATTTTGGGGGCGCTCAAGAGTCTTCCGGGCACTCCGAGGGAGTTTAGTTTCAAGGAATTGAAGAAGGCGACGAACAATTTCGACGATAAGCACAAATTGGGGCAAGGCGGATTTGGGGTGGTGTATAGAGGTGTGCTGCCCACTGAGAACATGGAGGTGGCGGTGAAGAAATTTTCCCGGGATAATCTCAAGGGCAAGGACGACTTTTTGGCTGAGCTCACCATTATCAACCGGCTCCGGCACAAGCATCTCGTCCGATTACTCGGTAAGTCACCATTCTTCTTAAATATTAATTTATTTAGACATGACCCCGTTAAGAGCATTTCAGCTAAACGTAAAAAAAGATTTGGATCCCATTCGGATCCAAATTGAGAAGATCGTAGAGATCTTCACAACTTAGTTATTCATCATGCGATCATAAATTATTTAATTTTTTTTATTTAAAATTAAATACAATTAGTACCTGACGAAAACTGATCGTACGATGTACGATGAACAAGTACAATAGATGACTTAAAATAAAATATCAAAACTCATTATTTATGAGACTCAAATTTAACAAGTGAAAATAAATACTTACTAGCATTACACTGCAAAGAAATGCTAAAAAGACTATCTCAAATTTGAGATTCTAAAAAAAATGAGACTTTCTATAAATTCATTGACATTTTATGTTTTTTGCATAATGTTTTATAATGTTAGCACATAAATTAACCTTAAAACATAATATGGTAAAGAGTTCATAAGTAGTTCCATTTTGTTAAAGTCTCCTTAACATTTCTCTACAATGCATTTTCGCGTAATACTAATACGTATTAAATTTTGCTTGCTTCCATCATCAATCATGTAAGAACAATTATTAATATGATAAGTGATAACATGTCATAATCAACATGAAACTTGCATGAACAACACTAGTGATTTAATTAAGGCTTTATTCTTTGTCAATGACTTAATTAAGGCTTAAGATTTATTTGTTTGGTTGGTTTACCCAATTATAAATTAATTTATTCGATATAAAATAAATAAATTCACTAACAATAATCCTAGGTGGATAGGCGTATATAAATTATTATTTAGCGGCTCCTGAAAACAGCCTGAATCTAGTCAAACAAATAAATCCTAAGCCTATGATAAAGTCTGAACTATCACCCAACAAGGGAGGACCCATATTCGCTGGTGTACGCCACGTCGTTTTCTGCTCTTCTAGCATAGTAAAGAGATTTTTTAATGTACCAAAAATATGTCATAATATATTGCGTGTTTTTATTTAAATAATAAAATTTTTATGTTAAAATATTAATAATATAAAAAATAAAAAATTTCATCACTTATATAATGACAAATCAGCCGCGATTGCCACCTACCGAATCTGTTATGCCAATTAGGACCGAGGAATATGTATTTAGCACGTGGGCATGCCAATTCTCAACAGTCAACATTCAACTAACAACCGAAAGAAAACTAGAACAATAGTTTGGCAGGTCAAATCCATCTTTGGATTTATAAAATGTACAGTCAGTGACTTTATTATGTGTCTTGTCTTACAAGACAACTCTATCGACATTTTTTTTTTTATAAGTTATTTCAAAGGTCGCAGTTCGATATTTAAAGTAATTAAAATTGTAGATGATACTAATCAAAATATGTAATGGCCAAATGTATTGCTCTCTTTGTTTGATATGGTCAAACTTTGGTACGACTTGTTATATTTTAACAAGTAGTTACAAATATGCAGGATGGTGCCACAAAAATGGAATGCTACTCATAGTCTACGAGTTCATGCCCAACGGCAGCTTGGACAACCACCTGTTTGGCGAGACGGAAAATGCAACCCTAGGCTGGAGCCAGAGGTACAATATCGTTGCCGGAGTAGCCTCCGCCCTACACTACCTCCACAATGAGTACGACCAACGAGTTGTCCATAGAGACCTAAAAGCCAGCAACATAATGCTAGACTCCAACTTCAACTCCCGCCTTGGGGACTTTGGCCTTGCGCGTGCCCTAGACAACGAGAAGACCTCGTACGCTGAGCTCGAGGGTGTTCAGGGCACGATGGGGTACATAGCCCCCGAGTGTTTCCACACGGGGAAAGCCACGTGCGAGTCCGATATTTACGGATTCGGGGCCGTGCTCCTAGAAGTCGTGTGTGGTCAACGTCCGTGGACCAAAATGGGAGGGTTCCAATTCATTGTGGATTGGGTTTGGTCGTTGCACAGAGTAGGGCGCGTGCTGGATGCCGTCGATGAGAGGCTGGGAAATGATTACGTGGCGGAGGAAGCCAAGAGGCTTTTGCTTCTTGGGCTGGCCTGCATGCACCCGATCGCGGGCGAGAGGCCCAAGACGCAAACTATTATCCAAATTATTTCCGGGTCGGTTCCCGTGCCCCAGGTCCCACCCTTTAAACCCGCTTTCGTGTGGCCCTCCAGCAATATGCCTGAGGGAGTGAGTACCGAAGCAAACACAGTGAATACGACGTCGTCCTGGCCCCTTGAGATATCGGTGGCAGATACTTCTGACTGGACCCCGCGCTACGACAGCCAGGATAGCAATGGAGGAACAAGACAACGTAGTGACAGCTTCTAGATTTAAGATCCTTGTTTTGTCGTCAGTCCCACATTCTCCCATTTTTCCTTTTTTTTTTTTTTTTGTTAAAAAAATTATCTTTGTTTTTCGCTTGAGGAATTTCATAGTTTGTAAATTTTGTTAATATTAAATGTATAGATCTTAATTTTATATTCCTTATGAATCATGTAATAGAAGTGTACAATTTAAGTTTGGAAAGCTGTGCGATTAGTGCATACTGATCACTACTTCTTTGTGAATTACGAGTTAATGTATTGCCTTAATCTTTCTTTGTGGTGGGTGTAATTATTTACAATTTCAAAGTCTTCGAGAGATGATTATACAAATAGAGATATATTTTTTTGTGGTCCATCGAATCCATCACGTCAGATTACATAATAAGTGTTGTAGATACAAATAAACATATTCCAACCGACATCAATCTTCCCCTCAATACAGGTACGACCCGCCTTCAAAACCAAATTATTTGGTTGATTGATCACTCTAAGATCCAAACCATGTCATCATTGTTCTCTCAACGACAATCCCAATGCTTCTAACAAATTGTAAAATTGTGGTTTAACCAGTTCAATTAGGCAACAATTTGTAACAAACTCCGGCGGAGCTTCCAGTACTACTGCTTCCTTCTTCGGTCCCAAGAGGAATGTAGCGATCGAGACTCGAACAGTTGCCTCCCTGCCTTGTGCTCTATGCTTCACATTGCACAGCCTCCCATTGCTCCATGCCTTGATACAAAATATTAATATAAGCGACTATGCATAAACAAAACTCGTTACAAATTATTAATTAAAAAAAATGTAGAGCTGAAGAGACACTAAATAGACAATAAAGTACCTAAGCAACATCTTGGAGATTGATGAGGAGAGTGCCTAGACAAGGACCAACTGCTACGAAGGCGCCGGATTTGTCCATCTCTTCCAACCCACCGACATTTTCATCGTCTTGAAGAATGGTTAGAAATCCTGAGTCTGTGTGGAATTGTACACCAAAGAATCCAACTGATTCAGGAGTGAGGTTGTACTTGTTTATCCTAAACTGATAGGGCCATCCCTTGAGCAATATTTTTTTGTGTATGTAAACAGCAACCTGTAATCTTTTCTATCTATATTGTACAAATTAAACATTTCGTTTATAAGCCTTCTTTTCAATGATGTTCATATTTTGTGATGCTATATTTACATCTTCTGGACATCGAGCTGGATATAGTTTCAGTTGAGAACCACAGTTGTTTTGAGTTGGCATGCAACCAAAGTTTTGGTAAGCCTTCTTTTCTCCATGTGCCCCATTTCTTTATTTATTCTTTTTCTTATTTGGGTATTTGATTTATAAATAAATTTTACATTTAAATTTTCTTTTTATCACTGCAGATTTTGTCTCTATAATCAGATGTTACATGTCGCTGTCTCATTTCATTCTTCTTTTCTTTTAGGAACAGCTGATGTTTCAATTTTGACCTTTTGTTCAGGGTATTACTTTAGTCTAAAGTAGGAGGGGAAATCGCACTATTCATATGAACAGTGTTTTGGACCACATTTCAGTTTATTTACGAGGCTGCCACTGGCTCTCTCTGCCGCTGATCTTCATGCCGCGTGTTGATAATCGTGGAAAGGCAGGGGTGCGATGGTCGTTTTAGTCTGTGGGGTTTCGAACAGATTGGGTGGGTTAGAGACTTTCATTTCCTTTCTTTCTGAGCTGAGAGAGAGAGAGAGCGAGCGAGCAGAGGGAGAAGAGAGAGAGGGAGGGAGGGGGAGAGAGATAGGGATTGGTGAGAGGAAGGCATGTGGCTTGCAGGCAGACAGAGTCACGGGGGGTGTACGATTCGAGGGAGAGAAAGAGAGAGGATTGAGTGGTGATGCTCGATTTGGGAAGAGAAAGAGAGAGACAGGGAGAGCGCGATTTTGGGGTTATGCGACGGCGGGAGAGAGGGCGAGGATTGTTGCATCCGTGTCACTCAGAGTGGGTTGCGAGAGAGTGAGAGTTCTGCCTTCTAGGGTTTGAGAGTTGGTTTCGAGAAAGTGAGGGGGCCTAAGTGGGGGTAAGGCTCGGGCTGGGTTTATGGAATGGGGCTGGATTAGTTACAGACAGAGAAGCGGTGGAGGGTGTGGAATGTCAGGGAGAGGAAGGGAGAGGGAGGTCTGCCAAAAAACGTGGGTTGCAGAGCTACAACAAGGGAGATGGGCGTGGATTGGCAGGGAGCGGAAGGGAGAGGGAGGAGTGAGGCTTGCAAAAAGGGGGTTGGATTGATTTTTCCTCCTCAAATCAATGGTTGGTGTCGGGATTGAGGGGTGGGTCGAAAGTGGGCATGGTTGTGAGGGAGAGAGGGATGGCAGAGACAGAGGTCATGGAGTTGGGCGTGGGAATTCCACAAATCAGTGGTGTTAATATCAGCAATGAGCATTACTGGGATGTGAGTTCTCTCAACCTTTTGATTAATTTTTTATATTTTGGCTTTTTATTAAGCTAAGTAAATGTTTAATTTCCATTTGAAAACTTGGGGAATTCTAGGTATATTGTTTATGGAAGAAGCTCTGTCTCAAACGATCCCTCGATCTCTTCTCCCCCGCATATGGCGAACTTCCTCCTCCCTCCTCCCGACCCTGAGAGGTACTGTCGTTGCCTATACTTTCTGTAATTTTTGGGGTTCGTGAAATTATTGAGTTGAATGTAGTTTTTTTTTTTGTTTGAAAATTTGTGTTTTAATTGTTGCTCACTCCTTTTTTTTTTCCTTGCAGTAAAAGACTTAGCATGAGCCACAAGGTTAGTGAAATTATAAAGTTGAAATTGTTAGTGTTTTTCTTTTGTTTTTTGTGAACTATAAGCTTTGTGAAATTATTGAGTTGAATGTCGTTTTTTTTGTTTGAAAATTTGTGCGTTAATTGTGCTCACTCTTTGTTTTTTCTTTGCAGTAAAACACTTCGCATGAGCCACAAGGTTACTGAAATTATAGATTTGAAATTGTTAGTGTTTTTCTTTTCTTTTGTTTTTTTTTTTTTTTTTGTTTTTTGATTTTTGTTTTTTTAATTATAACCTTTGTGAAGTTATTGATTTGAAGAATGTTGTGTTCGAATGAAAATTTTGATTTGAATTATTAGATAAGCATGGAGTATGTAGGAATTCAACCCAAAGCTAGCCAAAAACTGCCTCGCCGGGCTGAGTCTGGTGCACCGGGAAGTGGTTCTGAATGACTTTCTGATGCCCTTGCCTTTACAGGTATTATTTGTTCTAATTGAAATTTCTAATAAGCAGTTAGAAGTAGGGAAGTTATACCTTATTGTTTTGTGGAAGTTAAGTCTATCTGGGTATTCTATATTGCCACTGTAACATGCTTAAGCTATTTTGTTAGTTGTAATATCATGTGTGTCATGAAGATTCTAAGGAAATGTAGATGGGTGGAGAACGCTTTGGTTGTTGGTCCATCTAGGAAACCGTGAGTAGTTTCTTGCTTGCAGGTGTATTAATGGTTGTTTTCGTGTTTATTTAATATATCTATGTTGCACATGTTTCAGCTTATGCCTTTTCCCATATATATTTGTGCCTATTGATTTGGTGACTCTAGCTTTGCAATTTGCAGGGATGACGAGTCTACACACAGGGACGAAGGCCGAGTCGACTCACCAATGACTCTACGAGTTCGAAAATCTGTGAAGGTACATATAGCATGATGTTAAATTTACGCAATTTTTTTATTTTGAATTAGTTCAGAGTTTTTGGGGTTTTTACTGTTCAATAGAGCGGTAGTTAAAGAAGACATCTTTGTGTCCGTACAGTTGGTTGGAAATGAAAATTGCCCTGCATTAGTTGTTAATTAAGCAAACTGTATGTAGGCTTTTAATCATATTGGTTGTTTTGGAATTTCGTAAAAGATTTTTTGTATTTTTATAGGTTGGAGCACCAGGAACGTGATACTCAGTCTAAAATCTGAACACAGTGAAGAACTAAAGCATATCTAACTGCAAGCTGAAAACGAATTGAGAGAGGTTCAAATAAATATCTTTGAATTAAGTTGGAACTGCTTATTTAACTAGAGTGTTATATGCTTACGTTACAAACCAGTTTATCATTTTCATAGAAAGCAACTTCAATGAGGAGCGAACATGAGGCTGAGCTGACAGGTTTACGGCTTCAGCATGAAGATGAGTGTGAGAAGATGCAGGATGAATTAGATCTTCAAAAGTCTAAAGTACATATCTACCATTAAATAATTGATATTTTTGTACCTTTTACTTACGGAAGAGGGCATTACTGCAAATGCAGTGGAGAGTTTTGGTAATAAGCCACAAGAGGACCAAGAAGTGAATTCAAAGGTTGGCTTTATAATAGATAACTCTCTCTCTCTCTCTCTCATATCCACAAACACAGATTAAATTACTATAAGTTGTTTAGTTGCAGTTTATTTACTCCACTAATAAAGAATTTGTTAAATTACTATAAGCTATTTAAATTTTAAATGTTTTATTTCGATTTGAAAATTTGGGAAGTTCTAGGTATGTTGTTTATGGAAGAAGCTCAATCTCAAATCCCTCAAACGATCTCTCAGTTGCCACTTTGTTTTCGTAAGTTGTGGAACTTGATTTTCTCTATTCGTTGTTGTTGAAGTAGCTAAGTCTTGAAGCTAAAATGTTGAAAGCCAAAAACATGTAGACAGGGGCAAGATTTGTGTGAACTACTGATTGAGTCTGCATTCAATTGTAACTTTTCATGCAGTTACATGCTGATGAAATAGAATTCAATTTTTTTATTCCCTTCTTTTTTTTTAAATGCAATTACATTTATATGATGATTTACAGCGTATATTCATCTTTTAGTTTCTAATTCTTCATGCAGTCTAAGCCATGAAGGATTTGATAAACCCACAATTGATAACAATGTGTAGTGGCACCAACGGTTTAGGAGATCTGGTTTAGGTTTTGCAGAGAGAGAGAGAGAGTGAGAGATAGGGAGTGTTCGAGAGAAATGTGGGAGGATTTAGGCGAGGGATTTCAGGGATTTGTTTAGGGTTTCTTTTCTGCGATTTGCAGACAGAGAGATGGGACAAGGGTAAGAGAGAGAGATGGGAGGATTTTCTGCGAGGGTAAAGGGAACAGAAAAAGCATTTCGTTTTCCATTTGTTTCCTCAAACCCTTGGGATTTCTGAGATTGCAAAGAGAGAGAAATGGGGGTGTCCGTTAGGTCCCCTTTAATTGTCACTTTTGTGATTTGTCCACCCTTGATTGTTGTGTGATTCATTCTCACAAACGTTCTATGCACAAGGTTTCGTATTCTTCCTTCCTTTTAATTTTGATACTTTTGTGCTTA